GGGGGGGGGCGGGGGGGGGGGGGGGGTGGCTGCATGCAGATTTGGGAGGGGCGTTAGTGCATTATGGGGCCAGGCCCAGCCCGCGGCCACCGAGGGGTTAATGGAGTTAGGAGCACTGGGGTGCGGGGGGAGTGGGCGTACCTTCACCCTCGGGGCCTTTGCTGGGCCTGGGGTCGGGGTCTGGAAGAGAAGAGGGGGTGGCTGAGGGGGCTGGGCTGGGCTGGGGAGGGGAGGAGGTCTCAGGGCACCCCCCACGTACTGGGGGTGTCTCGGGCCCAGCGTGCTGCTGCTGCATCCAGGATCCCAAAGCCCCGGCGCCGCGGTGGCTCCTCCAACTTCCGGTTGCCCGAAATCTAGGGACCAAGAAATGAGGGGGGGCGAAGGGGAGACTGAGGGGACCCAGGCCTCCCACCCCGCTGCATGGAACCCAGGTGTCCGGGCTCCCAGCACCCCGCATTGCAGAGAGCCCAGGGGTCCAGACCCCACCTTCTTGCGGAAGAAGTGCCCCTTGGATTTCTTGCTGTCACCAGTGCGGGTCTTCACTCCCAGATGCTTCATGTAGGCGGCAATGGAGGCGAAGATGGCCAAGCTACATGGGGGACAGAGGCGTTGGGAAGGCAGGGGCATGAGTGAGGGTTGCGGGGAAGCCGCCCTCCCCCCACCCCCCAGGAAAGGCAATGGCCCCACCAGGTTGAGACCCGCCCCCACCCCCCCACAGCCCCTCTCACCTGCGCTCCTCGTCCGTGGAGATTGTGGATCTGGGGAGGAAGAGGGGGAAATCATGAGGCCAGAAATCCAGGAAGGAGTCTGGGGTGGGGGGAGCCCAGGTCAACTTAGCTAAAACCCGCCATCCCCCCGCCAGCCAGCATCACATCCCAAAGACCTTGTTACACCCAGCCCCACACCCCAGGTCTGTGATACCCGCCCCGATGGCCACCCCAGAGCCAGGTGCACAGCCTCACCGGCCCGCCAGCCCCATCGCGACGCTTCCATGCGCGTGTCAGGGTCCGTGAGCTGCCTGGGGGCATGTTCTAGGCTCAGGTTGGGTGTGCAGGGCCAGTGCTGGGCTGGGGCTTTATATGGGGATAGGGGATGATGCAACCAGCAGCAAGAGGCTGGAGGCAGAGGCGGGGGACACCCCCTCCCTGCACAGCTGGATGTCCCTCCCCCGCGTGGGAACAGTTGGGACCTGCCAGATGTGTTGGAGGCCTGGCAGCCAGCCCAGAACAGTAGGGGGGCTGCAGGTCGGGAATGAGGGGCCCTGGGGGCATGGGGCTGTGGGTCTCGAGTGAGGAACACTGGCAGGGCAGGGGGCTGCATATTGGGAGTGAGGGGCGCTGGCAGGGCTGTCCCCAGGTGCCTGCTGGCTCTGGGCCTTCCAGGTCCTGGGGGTTTCCACTCACTGCATGTCCTCCAGCCGCGCTAGCAGCGTCTCTGCCAGCTGCTTCTCTTTAGCCTCCCGGATGCTCTTGTCCCGGGTCTGATATGACTCCAGCTCCCCCAGCTCAGCTGCTCCAGGGGTCATGCCCATTTGCCGATTTGACCTACCTCAGGGGCAGGGATCAGAGGGGTCAGAGGGTACCAGCTTGGCCCCCTGGCCACCTCCCAACCCCTCCAGCCCCTGCCCCCACCTGAAGACTTCGAGCTGCCGGGTGATCTCGGGCTCCTGGGCAAACTGGATTTCTGTCAGGAACTGGCGTTGAATGTCATCGGGCAGCAGTTCTGGCCGGATCCGGTCTGTAGGGCCAGGGTTGTGAGCTTCTTCCAGCAGTGCCCTGCAACCCCCCCCCATGCTGCAAACTTCTCCAAGCAGTGCCCCAGCTGCCAGCCAGACTGAGTGTGAGCTGGCTCTGGGGAAGCTGCCAGCTGAGTCATCAGCCTGGGAACCGCCATGTTGGGGCCGGCGCTGGCGGGATGCGGCTGGGTGCGGCAGGGCTGGGGGAACAGGGCTGAGGCCCTGACATCCACCAGGTGGCGCCGGGCACTCTCAGCCAGCCTGGCCCCTGCACTTCCGGGTCCTCATGGGAGTGAGGAGCACCGGAAGGGCTGGGAGCTGTGAGTTAGGAATGAGGCTGGGGGGGCAGGGGCTGCAGGTTAGGAGTGAGAGGGACCAGCAGGGCTGGGAGCTGCAGGTTGGGAGTGAGGGGCCACCTGGTTCTTCCCAGCTGCCATGTCCCACCAGTGACACTCACCGAGCTCAAACTGCACCTGTTCCGGGATGGGGACCCGCAGGAGCTGCCGGGGGAGATGGGGTCAGGGGTGGTTGTGGGGAGGTCAGGATGGAGTTGGGGGTGAGGAGGACATCGGGGAAGGGCATGGGACTGTAGCAGGATTGGGGAGCAGGTCTGACACCCTGGGGAGTCCAGCTGGGCAGAGCCTGGGGTGGGGGTGCTGGAAGGAGAGGGGAGAGGATTCCCCCAGGTGTTTAGATGGGGATGAGGGGTATATAGGGCAGCCTTGGGGTGTCCAGGGAAGTTGGGGGAGTCCCAAGGGGATCTGGAGGGTCCATGGCGGGGTCCCTTACCCCGGCCTTGTCGATGAAGCTGTGATAGAAATCCACAAACTGCTTCTTCGCCTCTTTGGCGCCAAGGCTGCGCAGCAGCTCTGCGTGGAGGAAGCAGAGCTGGGG